TTTTTAATAAATTAAAATAAAGATTGCCAAGTACGCTTAATTACTGCTGACTTGGACTACCTTTTTTTTTTTTTAAAAGAGACTTTCCTTTGTGTTTGTTTATTTTTTTTTTGGAAGGAAGAATATATTAATCAATCAATAAACTTTACAAAAGTAACAGGTAACTACCAAAAAAACATCACCTGTTCTCTAATAATAAATCCAAAATATTCCTAGCTCTAAGTGTGTGTTCAGTATGTACATTAACCGAATGAGCTAAAGAGTCTGAGTGAGCCGAGCAATCCTGGACTACCTTATTTTAAACATAATAATGGGAAGCAACTTTCTCGTACGGTTTGTGTTTCTGGAAGATTAATATTTAATCTTTGTACTTTACCTCGATTTTTAATTTGGTCCCCATACTTTTATTTTGTAGCTGCAAATGCAATAATACTTCCATTCATAACAAGCCTCTTATCAGCGATCATCATCTCTAGGAAGTTACCTACTCTGCTCTTCTCTGTTTTTCCATTCAGAAACAGAGCATTTTTATTACTTAGAATTCATCTCGTGAATCTTGCTCCTAAGTGAGTGAGAAGTTGTTATGTGCGTGTGTGTGTTTCTCCTTGCTCTCTCTTGTAGAGGATTCGCAGTGAGTAATCGGAGGAGAGGGTAACGGGTCATGCTTCACACTTCATCAGATTCTAACGCTATTATAGAAATAACTTGAGGGAAAATGGCAAGCATACCAATCCTATTATTTAACACTGTAAAAACAAAAAAATATAATTACAGCTTTCATTATTTAACACTCGTACTTCGTCAAGAATTCACACACACACACAAGCGCGCACACATACAACACTTCCATTTTTTAACACAAGGATTTGATCTTCATGCATTACTTAATTTTACAAACAAGGCCATGTCCCTTCATAATGATTATTAAGGGATAAAAATTTTGTTACTTTGGTCCTTGAACATAATTTCCTCTGTGCGTAGCCAGCAAAACATGTCAACCTTTAACATATAGTGGCATGAATACTTCATCTATGATTAACAACTTAATTTTGGCAAATGGGAAATTTAACATATATAACTACTAAAACATATATCATTTGAGAATTTAACAAAAGCATCATTGCACAAACATCTGTCCACATTCTTCATCAAATGTCAACATCACTGCCCACAGCGTATACCTGCATTAATCAAGCAAGGAAAGTAAAAAGGCAAGTTTATATTTTGAGTATATCCATGTCATTATATATAGTAGCATTATATATAGTACAAGAAGTGATGAAGTACTTGAGGTAATTTTTTCTTTCTTTGAGTATTTCTTCTTTTTTTTTTTTGGTCTTGTTCTTTGGGTTGATATGTATGCATGGTGCTTAAATTTTGTGTGTTGGACAATTCATAGCTGTGACAATATTGGATGATTCAATGGCAAACTGGCCTTTGGCTACTGTTGCAAAAGAAGTATTCTGTGTACTGAGCACTATTTAGTTCTTCGAATTAACAAAATCTGCCATATTATAGTATTTGATAGTTATCATTTCTGGAGAATTTACAAGTTCACAAAGTCCATCTAACAATTTTTTATGTGGGTTGTAGATTTTTTTTAAAAATAAATTATTCATAGATTTAAAATGATTTTTTTACAGTCATAAGGCGCCAGATTTATAAATTTAAAATAATTTTTTAATGACTAAACTTCATTTTTCTATTATTTTCTTTCTTAATTTGTTTTTGAGATATAAATTAATCTTTTAAATATTTTTCATTGCAATTTAAACAGTGATGGTTAAAACCTAACAATTTGAGTTATTTATTTATTTTAAAAGTTTATTAATATCTTTATAAAATATTGAAAACAACCCAGTCAAATTTTAATTCAATAGTTGAAATGAGAAGTGGAGAGAAGTAGAATTTCTCCATATGTAATAGTATTTATTTGAATTATTATGGTAGTATTTAATTATAGTTAATGGAATATAAGTAAGGGTAGTTTGGAAAAAATAAATAAATATGAAAAACAAAGTGGATTGGGGTTTTATATCTAGGACCAAACTAAAAATTAAACTGGTTCTTATAATTAGAACTGGAGATAGTACATTTTTTTTCTAAAACATCTTAATCATCTTTCTTAATTTTTTTCCTTCCTCTCGCACATGATTGTTGTTGAGAGAATATCAACAAGGTTAATTTAAAAAAATTGAGAATCATATAAAATATGTCTTATATATAAGACCAATATCAACTTTTAAATTAACTCTTATATTAAGAATATGAGGAGTACAAATTAAGATAAATGTAATTTTTTAATGATTTTTGGGTTTGAATATTGGCACTTGCTAGCTTGATCTCTTTCAACATAAATTCATGAACTTCGCCGGGATGTTAAAAAATTTCTCCCCATACAATTCATGGATTGGAATGTTAAATTTTAAAACAATTGTGGAGAGCAAATATATTTACATTTAAATATATTGATAGAATATATTGGTAAACATGTTACATTACTATTGGTTAATTATTAGTACATACCAGATAGATTTTCTTTAGAGGTGTTCAAGGCCGACCCATTCCGGTCCCGACCTTATTGGAACAGGACGGAAATTTTGGGACGGGACAAAAAAGGGACCGGGATGAGATGGGACGGGACAAGGGATGGGGTCGTCTTGTCCCGGTCCCTTTTTTTTTTAATTTTTTATGCTATTTATATAATATTATTTTTTATATTTTTTAAAGATTTGAGACTATTATATGGAACTATAGATATATTTATTTAGAGCTTTTATATTTGTTGATGATTTGAGATTATTGATGATTAGAATTTTTAGCAAGTTTTTATTGTGTTAAAACTTTTGTTTAGAGTTTTTAATAATTATTATATGTAATATTTTGGGCTTTTGTTGAAGAGTCTCCAAACAAATAAAAAAGAAAAGAAAATGATATTTTTATAAGGTCTAAGCCCAAAAAACTATAATTAAAAAAATCAGATTTTATTAAAAAATTAAAAAAAATTTAAAAAAAAAATATATATATATCGGGACGTCCCGGTCTCATCCCAATCAGGACTAGGATAGCACTGGGACGGACCGAGACACGGGATAGATTTTCTGTCCCGTTACTGTTCATCGAGATGGAACTGGGACGGGCCTATCCCAGTCCCGATCCATCCCGTGAATAGCCCTAATTTTCTTTGGCTGATGGTCATCAGTACAAACTAATAGCTATGTAACATTTAAGCATGATTAAGGTGTTACATTTTTCTATTGAAATATAAGCATGCTGCACACCTTAAACATGATGCACTATATTTCAATTAAAAAAAATAAAAAATGTCAATTCTTTACATTATTGTAATTTATAGCTGTAGATACTCTTTTATAAATATTTTAGGGCAAAAATTTGAAACAGCTCAAGATGATGAAAATAGCTTTTAACCTAAAATTAATAATGCATTAACTAAATATTAAATATTATAAATAAAAAATGGGGAAAGTTAATGTTTAGGATAATACTTATATTAATTTTCTTATATTGATTATACCAAGTTCTCCACATGAAATAAAAAAAGACATATAACCCTATATGATTGGAGAATTTGACATAATATATATAAAAAAACTTGATATAAGCTTTTGTTTTTTTTTTAATACCCCTCAAGGACATAAGTCCTCAGTCAGTTTTCAGGCAATAAATTTTGTAATTGATGGTTTTTTAGTAATTTTTCCTTCTTATTATAATTATAAATTAAATTAAAGTTTAAGAAAGTTTATTAGTTTAACTACGTCGCTTAATTTATGGTAGATCGTAGCCGTTCAAGTAGTGGAAAAATCGAGTCCATTTGTTCAACTCTATCAGTTTCTTTGTCATTTTTAAAGGTGGGAATCAGGGCCGGCCTGACTCTTCAGAGCTTAAAAGGGCCGACCCTTTAAGGCTGAAATTTAAAAAATACCTCAATTTGCTAGCCTTAAGTTAACGGGCTCAGGACCGGCCTGCGGGCTTTTGGCCCGTTTAAAAAAAATGCTACTTTTTATATTTTTCATATTTTTTAATCAAAAAATAAAAATAAACCAATGAAATTGTTAATAAAAGACATAAATATAAATACAATTAAGTCACAAATACAAAATATCGTCATATATAAATATCTATCAACATCCAAGAACATCTAAAACAATCATTAACAAGATAACAATATCTCAAAGTTTTATCCATAGTGCAATTGCGCAATAAATAAACACTATTATTAATCTTTTAAAACTTCATCATTACTATAATCAATTACTTTTCTTCATAAGTATGCTTTTCTTTCGTAACAAAAATATCAAGTTTTTTTTTAAAAGGAATTTATTTTTAAATTTTGCAATCTAACTATTATTTTACTTTAATGTGAGAAATATTGTTGTTAAAACTCATGAATTTCTAATTCAAATTATAGAATTACAAGTTATATAAGTATAAAAACACTCTATTATCAAATATATATAGTATAAAAATATTAACACATATAATATAAATCAAATCATTATTAAAGTCTGAATTAACCCATTTTTTAAAAATTTAATTGGATAAATTATTATCTAAAACTAAATAAACCAAATCATTCTGTAAAATTTAATTTTAAAATAATAATAACTAAATATTTAAAATATTATTAACAATATAAAAAATTAATAATATTAGAATTATATAAAAAAATAAAAAATAAAATGGCTTAAACAGGCTGATCCTCAGCTCTTTAAGGTCGGCCCTTTTAAACCCTCAATCCTCTAGAGCTAGCTTTTTAGGATCTATTTCCTATTTGAAAAAAGAAATTTCAAACCCAGTCCCTATAATTTCAAGATCTAAATGGGCCAACATGATAGACTCGTCCGTTTTCCCGGCTCTAGACTCATTCTTCTCTCTTGGCTCTCTCGAGTCTTGACGACAGCGGCTTCTTTCGTTCTCCCTCTCCAAAAATGTCTCGTCGACGGGTTATCCGAACTGATTCACCAGCAGGTTCTTGTCACGGGTTTTCCCTCTCCGTTCTTGTTGCCGTTCTTCGATATGATGTTTTAGATTGTTTCGCTTAAGTTGTGCTGTGAGTCGGTGTAGTCCGAAAAGTAAAAATCCTAGAAGCATCTTGAGCTTAGAGAATTCGAAAGTTTAAACGATCTGTAAGCATTCAACCTTCTTAAGTATTTTTTTTTTTTGGGTGATTTCCCCGTTTTATTTTTCTCTTCGCATTTATTGGAACAATAATTGTAGGAAGAATTTGAATTTTAAACCGTATTTTTGGAAGTTATTGTGTTGGCAACACTTTGAACGTTGATTTTCTTGCTTGTTGAGATCTTATAGTCTATAAAAGTTAAGCATATGTATATTGTCAAGCCTAAATAAGGAACTTGACCGGTAGTATTTGAAATTCTCATCCACGTCTTAAACATGGTCGCAGCCATACATCTAAAGGCTCAAGGCTTGTGATATTACCTTTAAAATCAATGCAATTGAGCAAAGAGCTGGGTAAGTTGTTTGAATATCAATTGGTTCTGGTTTAGAGTCTATATTGTCTTGAGCCTACCAAGTTAAGGTTGCCAGTCATGCTGTATAGATTCCCATATTTGAAAATTCAACTTTTGTTTGAATATTCTTTCTACCTTTTCTTTTCCTTTATCAATTTACTTGCAAATTAAAGCTAACTCCCTTCTCCATTTTGCAGCACAATACTCGATTTCTTCAACAAATTCTTCAAAATAGGAAATCAGATTTTCTAGAGTGGCTTATTAATCATTATTGCATTGAATGGTGTCAAGATTCTTCTTTCTATATGGTTGACGTTATTTTAGGCTGAATGTGAGCTGCAAATAGGAGGGCTGGCAATGAGAGAACCCAAGCAACTTCTGTCTTTACTAAAATTTAAATTTGAAGATTTTGTTCTTTTCCACCTTCAATGCATTAACACTTAGTATTTTACTAGAATTTGCACTCGATTCTTTCTATCTACGATACTTTTCTATTTGATCAACCTTTTGGATTAGTCACTCGAGCCCCTAGCATCATGGCATCCAACAAGAAGCAATACTAGGGTATTGCTTTGCTGTCCATATACAATGATGAGGAAGATGACGAGATGGAGGATGTTGAAGGAGGAATGGAGAGAGGAGAGCGACAAGAACAGGATGGTGGGGATGTGAGGATTGCAGAGGAAAATCTAGAGAGTGATGCTGAGATGATATGGATCCTTGATTCTGCTAATGAGGCTACTCTACTGGCTTAAAATTACAGGATGACCCCAGAGAAGAGTAAATTTGGGACTAAAATGCCACCACAACCTTTGGTTGATATGTTGGTTTCACAGCAGGATCAACAAGTAGTGTCTGTTGAATCTAGGAGGACTAAGAGAGGGACAATTACCATTGTAGACTGTGGTCATGATGAGATAGCAATGTCACCTGAGCCAGAGTTACTCTCTCTTACTTGAATCCACTGCTCTGTTTTTTTTTTTTTTTTTTTAAGAAATGCATTTAAGTAGGACTAAGGACATGGCAATTTTGGTATATTATATTTGTCTTCTATACGTTCCTTCATCGTTATTTTCTTCCATTGATGGAGTCATGTCTCTTAAACTTGAAAATTACCCAAAATGTTTAAGACCCTGATGTTACCTTGGCCACCCTGGCTTGGCCATATTTTCCAGGCAGGTTACCTTCTAATAGGAAACCATTTTCTCCTTCTTTATTTTAGGTTATAAGTTAATAACTTATATTTGGTTCTGATATCAGGATGGAGGGCTTGATGGTAATGGTCAACTCATGTTTGAGGAAGAACTTCAAACAACAAATGGTATTTCCCCTTTTGATTAAAGTATGTTCTACTAAATTTAGTGTATCCTTTCTTTGGACACCTCATCCCACTACAGGTTATTCTCAGAGAATGAATATTACTTGATTAATCTGTTGGCGGTAAAGAAGAATATCTCAAGAGCTTCACAATGTCATTGATTTCTTTTTGGAACAGAAGAATTTAAAATTTTGACCAGTAATCTATTCTCTCATTTGGCCAAAAAGTCTGTTCTTTCTGGAACTTGTGTAGACAGTTCTGGTAAGATAATTATGAATATGAGCTAATGAATCTGAACTGTTATATTGATAAGGTAATAAACATATAAAATAGTTAAAATTAACTTCTGCATGAAATGTATTTAATCAAGAACGATTATTCAACTGACCTTTTATCTGCTAGTCTCTCCGGTTCATTGTCCAGTCGGGCTTTTAAAACATTAGTTTTAAGTAATAGTTTAAATTAAAAAATAATTTCCCTCAATTTTTGATAAAGTAGAAAATTGTACTCCTCCAGTCCTTAATATAAGACCCATTTAACTAATTTGATTAGATTAAGGAAGTTTGGTAAATTAGTTAATTATAAGAAAGGTGACACATTTTTCCTAAAATATCATAATCATCTTTCTTAATACCTCCTCTTTCTTTTCTACTTGATTATAGTTGAGGGAGTATACATAGGGGCAATTTAGAGAAAATTGATAAATATAAGAAATGGGTCTTATATTTAGGACCGAAACCAACTCAAAAATTAGATCCTATATTAAGGACCGGAGGAGTATAAAACTATTTCTAGCTTTTGCATATTTGTTGTTCTTTCATGACAATGTGCTATGATTTTTATTATTATTGCAGAGAAAGATAAATAAATTTCTTGAGTGTAAGAAGGCTGGAAAAAGTTTTAATGCAGCAGTTCGCAATAGGAAGGACTATCGGAACCCTGATTTCCTGTTGCTTGCTGTGAGGTATCAGGATATTGACCAAACAGGATCTTGCTTTGATAAGGATGTATTGGACCCTCATAGATATGACCCAAGTGACTACTACGACCAAATAGGTGCTTAACTGTTTCTTCTCTGCATCTACTTTCTTGTACTTCCCTGTGCTTGTTTATTTTATGCTCATATTTTACCTGATTTTGTCAATTATATGATACTTCTTGTGTGTCCTTGCAAACATTAATATTTCATGTTTGTCATACTCTAGATATACTGGTCGCTGGTATCTAGGCTGTTTAGGCTATTATTGTTCACTATACTAACAACGGACTTGATATCTGGTACTAAAGAACTTGTTTATCTTCTAACCTGATGTTGAAATTATGTTTTGCCATTGGATCGTGTTTTTTCTCTTCAAAAGTCCTTTTGATAATATTATTTACGCTGAAATGGACAGCCAACATATATACATAGCTGTGTATGGCTAGTTATATCTGCTTTAGGGTTCTTTCTATATTTTTTATGAATATGTTGGTCATGATTTTGGAAGGTAAATACTAGCCTAATTTAAGTTTGGGATAATTAATCTACAGCTCCTTATAGTTTTTTTTCTTTTTAGTAGGTCCTTATACTTTCACCTGTTTTTAATTTGGTCCTTGTATTTATTTTTCTTTGTATCAAGTCCTTATAAGTTCACCTTATTTTTAATTAAGTCCCTGAATTTTTTATTCTTTATTTTATAAATTCTAATAGTACTATTATATAAACATAAAATAGTATATATTATTTAATATTAATTTATAAACAATAATATTCTAAAGATATTGAATTATTATAATGATTTTAATTTTTTCAGCAAAAAAATTAATTGTTCTAAAAAATTTTCCTGAATTAATTAATTCTATTATTTTTTTATTACATAATTATTAATTTAATTTAATTATTAATATTTTATATTTCGGTATTAATCTATTTAATTAAGCTTATATTTAATTAATAAATAAAAATTAAAACTACATGGACCTGATTAAAAATTTAGTGAAATTATAAGGATTTAATTAAAAGAAAAATAAATACAAGGACCTAATTAAAAAAAGGTAAAAGTATAAAGACCTGATAAAAAGAAAAAAAGCTATAGGGACCTACTTCAAAATTCATTGAAACTATAAGGATTAACGAATTAATTAACCCGTTAAGTTTTCATTGTGAATTTAACCAACTTATTTGTCATCCCATATTTTGTTATTTGTTCATATTTTCCTCAGCACCCTCAGATCATTAAGGCCAACTTTCGTCCCTACTTGAGGGATTGGTCTTGCAGTCAAGCTCCCTTTAAGTACTTGATACTGATGTTGCTTTACCACCCCTAACTATCGCATAGGTAGATATGAGACGTGGAAGTGACAAGAAAGTGCAGGAGAAGAAAGCCCAGAAAGTTGAATTTTTCTCTGGGAGAGCACAACCAGGAATTGTAACTAGTGTTCCAAGGATCAATGTGTAACATCCCAAATTTATTTAGGTTTTAGAGTTAGTTAGTTAGTTAATATATATATATATATATATGAATTACATATATATGTATGACAATTAGAAGGAGTACGTTTTCCTTTATTATTTAAAAGGTATCACAAAATACAAAAAAAGAAGAAGAGAAGAATTAAATTGGAAAAAAGAAGAGGATAAGTTTCTTACGTGTAGTCATTGTAAAATACACATAATAATTAAAAGGAAAAAAAAGTAAAACGGTTTTATATATAAATAGTTTTTACATATATATATTTATATAAATCAAACATCTTGATATCTTTGATGTTAGTTTGAACAGCAATTTAAAGAGGAAGAATAAATAATAATAATAATAATAATATCAAATGGACTGAAATTCAAATTTTGAATCTGTTATATGAATTTTGATAAAATATATGTTTATAATTATATGGATATAAAAGAGATTTGATAATGATAATGATAATGCTAATGATGAAAATGAAATAGATTTAAAATGTTATGTGTTTTCAAATCCTTTGTATCCTGAAGTTAGTTTTTATAACATTTGAGTAACAAATATATAATCCGGAGGATCAAGTAATGATATAGCAAGACAAGGCGATTTTTTAAAAAAAAAAGAAGAAGAGAAAATCTGTATATATATGTCCCAACGGAAAAGGAAATAAAAAAAATAATTAACAATAAGAATAATAATAATAAAAGAGAGAATAGAGAAGGGACGGAAGCCCTACGTCAATCTCTTTTAATACCCTCATCTCTTCTATACCTCATTTATTCTGCCGCAACACAAACCCAACTCCTGAGATATAATGCCATTCGCATCATTCCTATTTCCTCTTATTTGTCCACTGTAGCCTTGCCCTTCTTTGTCCTTTTCTTCAATCAACAGTCACCGGTGTCTTCCAGGTACATAGCATAAGTTTCTCTCTTCCATGTATATATATACCTGTAGCCACTTGTTTGTTTTATAAAAGTTTTTTTTTCCTCATGAGTAGGGAGATTCGGCAACACCCACAGTGCACACCCTATCATACAACTATACACTTTAATGTTTAGTATGATCAAAAGTCTAGGCATGCGATTATAATGTTACCGATATATATATATGCCCAAACATGAACAAATCAAATAAACTACCAAATAGCAATAAGAGATGCTTTTGAACACACACACACACACATATAAGTGCTAGGAATTGGCAAAAATCCTTCGATTTTCTATTTGTAAGTTTTTCCTTAAATTATTTATATCTATTCTCATGATAAGTTAAAATAAATAGATAATAGGAAAATATGTAAACTAAATATTTGTATGTAATTTCTGGGTAGAATGAACTAGTTAAGTTATAAATAGGTATGAACTTAAAAGGCCTCTTGATAGCTTTAAAGTAATATTTGAATTTTATAATATGTAAGTGACTTATAATCCTGAAAATTTAAAACTAAATTATGGGTGTGGAGTAGATTTAAAACTTAGATAGCTTTTAGGTAATCTTTAATAGCTCAAATTATAATTTAACTTGGTACTTGTGTAATTCTTGTAGACTCTCACTGAGAGCCTTATTGCTTGGATTTTTTTTCGTTTCACTACTGAGGAGCAAAGGGAGTCAGGTAACTTGGGGTTTTTCTATGTATGTGCAAACTTTATCCATCATGATTAAAATTGTATTGACTCTATTTACTTAATTGTTGCAAATCAATAGATAAGACTAAAAAGGTGAAAGAATAAAATTGTATTATCTTCTATGTTATTTGAATTCTCCTTTAAGTATGAATGTGTCTTGGATATTTTTGTGAAAAATTTATAGTAGTTCGTTTTCTTTCAAGCATGCTTGCATATACTCGATTTGTTATATATTCATGATATGCATAGGTAGTTGGACTTGGGAGTTTATAATATTGATATGTGTGACAAATTGTGACCACGTGGTTTGCCTCCACTTAGGGCCTCGTTCCTTAATACTTACCTGACCAGGTTTGTAGAGGGGAAACGTGGGACAATGACGCCTCCAGGTTCTTTTAAGGAGGGGAGCTATAGTCTAGACTTGGGCTCTATATCTTTGGCCAGATACATCCTAAGTATTGAAGTAGCTTTAGTCAGTCCAGTGTGTGGACCAGACCGTTTATAAGCCTATGGTTCCAATCAGCGGAATAAGGTTGGATGAACCAATAAGAGTGGAAGCATCCATTGCATATGAACATGGTATATTATTGAATTAGTTACATATTTTGCTAATGATTATTTCAGCTATTGCAATATCTGTTTGCTTAGCCAATATGAAATGTTTGGGTAATGGTTGTATCTACATGGTTGAACTCTCGGTTACTGAGACGTTTGTGCTCACCCTAATTATTTAACATTTTTTCAGGTGACAATCCTTATTGGGAGCAAGGGAAGGTACCAGAGGAGTGAGCTAGTAGCTCTTACACTTCTCAAGTACATGATGAATTAATTTGATTCTTTACTATTTGCCATGACCCTAGAACATCAAATCAGTATTGTGTTAATTCCTTGAATAGATAGATTTTAGCGTTTCATTTCAAGTTTTATCCATGGGTTATGTTATGTTAGACTTTAAGACTGCAAACTTGGATATTTATGCTCGAATTATATTATGGGCTTAATTGCTCATGTTTACTTGTGGTGATTAAAAGGCTGAGTCCTTTAGTATAAACTTTATTATTGAGACCTTAAGATTAAACTAGTTTTTACATGGTGCTTTAAGTAGCTTAGAAAATTGGGTGTTACACCCGTTGCAGGTTATAAAGCAACCTAGCTTACCTATGGTATGGCAAAAGTCATTCTTACTACTCATTTTCTATTTTATGCTGATTTTCTCTCTTGTGGTTTGCCTTTGATGCCTCCTACTGCTGAGGACACCAATTGTGATGGTAGACTAAACAAAAAATCAAAATGGGACGAGGTATTCATTTAAACAAATGCACCTTCAAATTTTTACACAATATTTTAGTGAATAATAATCCTGTTTAGGTGGATGGGGATTAGAATGGGGCAGCATTCTGTGCCTACTTACGCTACAATTTTGCTGCTAATGCTGGTGATGGGTACATGCATTTTGCGTGAGATTATGAATAACTTTGAGCTTCTTTATGTATTCTAGAATGGGATGTGTTTGATATTCTGACCACTGTTGTACTTTTGGACATGCAGCAAAAACGACGAGAGGCAGAGGAGAGAAGGTCAACTGAAAGGAAGGAAAGAAGGTCATGAGCTCCACTCATTTTGGTCTGTCAAACTAATGCCTCCAACCATTTTGAAGTCCTTTAGTTTGCCGTCGACAAAAATGTTTGTCTATTCAGTAAGTTTTGCTAAGTCACCATTCTATATATCATGAAAGGTGGAAAGGAATAGTGTTGTGGTTAGCACTGCAGGATTTAAGTCAGCTAAATGGTTGGTTTTATTTTGTTTAACTTTTTTTACGAGCACGCTGAATCAGGATTTTGAGCAGGATTGTCATTCCAGTTGCTTGCGACAGTACAAAATGCACCTCTGATTTGCTTTATAGTGGTCTATGTATAAGCTTTTATTTTTTATTTTTTTGGATAGTTCTTAATACATGTGAGAGAGCATATAAGTGACTTTTTTTCATTAAAAATGATGTTTTGGGCTTTTAGTTGTCAGTGTGAATGGTGCCAATGGCATAAGCAAGTAAAGCGAAAGATAAAATAAAGGGCATCAGGGAGTAATTTTGTTAACTCATATCAAAAAAGTAAAATATGGTGAATTTAAATGCTAGATATTTCATTCATTCTAGCTAACAGTTTAATATTAACCTAATAGAGTTATTTTCATTATTGCTTACCATTATCTTTCGAAATTTGGACCGTAATAGATAGATTGGCATTATTTAAATCTTTAAATTGGTGTGAAAAAATAACTTGTCTCTTATCTAGCTTAAAATAAAGGGCATCAGGGAGTAATTTTGTTAACTCATATCAAGAAAGTAAAATATGGTGAATTTAAATGCTAGATATTTCATTCATTCTAGCTAACAGTTTAATATGAACCTAATAGAGTTATTTTCATTATTGCTTACCATTATCTTTCGAAATTTGGACCGTAATAGATAGATTGGCATGATTTAAATCTTTAAATTGGTGTGAAAAAATAACTTGTCTCTTATCTAGCTTGCTTGCAGCTAAGTCTTAGTCAATTACACAAACATAAATCTTATATCTAATTTCATTTATTGTTCTTATCTGCCTTCACAGATCATAAAAATGAATATTGTTTCATACAATTATCAAGAACTCCATGGTCAATTGTGACCAATCTCATTGAACTAATTAATAATCTTTATAACACAGTTAAGCAAACCACACAGATGTTGAATGAAAGCTTCACAATCACAACACACTAATTTCTGAGTCTTTCATACATTAATGAAACAAACCACACGTTGGGTGGGGTTTTGTCATGCATCACCCAATTGTTTATGATAAAAACAGAGTCTCATTTATCAAATAATTGAGAATTCAACAAGAGCATCACCGCACAAATATCTGTCCATATTCATCATTTTTTTATTTTCAAGTTTGTCCCCTCATATATGAGGCTTTTATTGATATCATAATAACCACTAGGGGAAAAAAACAGCCGACAAGCAGAAAAATCATAAAAGTAACGAACCTGGAAAGAATGATAACATGGATGATGGACTTATCCTTCTATATATTAAGACTATCCTGCAATAACAAATCATAATATTAGCTGCCTAAAATAGAAGGTAATTTTGAAAAGAGACGTCATTGGCATAAGCACGATACAATCAATTTTCTATTTCCTTGGTCATTAACAACACATTTTCCGAAACAATATTTGTTAGTGTGGGAATGTCATACCTTTGCTGAGCATAGCATTTCTACTGTTTTGTTAAGGTCTTTTTTATCCTTCCATTTCATCTCATGCTCTTCTATTTTTACTCTAGACAACTCTGGTGTTTCGAGCGCTCCTGGACAAAACATCTTCATTTCATGACATCCAGTTATTTCTATTACTTCTAATTCAGGGAATTCAAATGTCAGACTTTGTGAAGAGAACATCTTCAAGCTTGGCATATCAGTAAGTTCAATCCGCTGTAATTGGTTCAGAGTGATTCCACCTTCTACACCTTCATTGTTCTCATGCAATACAATTTCCTCCATTTTTTTACAATCATTTATCCCCAACCATTTAAGACTCACCAAGCTTTTGGTAGTTGAACTTGTCACCAAATAGACGAGTTGATGGCATCCAGATATAAACAGCTTCTGCATATTTTGAAATGAAGCAAAGGAGGGTGCCAACATGACCAAGCTATGACAACTTTCGACTTCCAAGCGTTTTATTAGGTTTTGATGAATTGGTGGTAGCTGAGAGTCATCCTTCCATATGCTCTTGAGTTGATCCAAATAGGCAATGTGTAATTTCTCAAATGGTGGGATTTTCCCCATAAAATCGATAATCTCATCTTGTGGGGAGAATACCTTCTCAAAGGAACTATTCTCCACATAAAGCTTTTTCAACATGGGAAATCTTTCAAGGAAGCTATGGGGAAAGGTTACCCCTTCATCCTTGAAGCTTTCTACATAAAGAGTTCTCACTTCAGGAAAGACATCCCTTATCATCTTGATATTCTCTACATTTAAAGCCATGCTTTTGGTTGTGGAAATTACCTATAAAATGATAATTAATAAAACAATTACCATAATGAGGAGGCGATTTAGTAGATTACATCAGGATATTGTTTTCAAGAATCAAAACTTTTTAAATGGATCACTCATCTTTTGCCAATGTCTAAATTTTCATCATTTCACCATGAAATAAGATCCACACATTAAAATTTTAAAAATCCATTAAATTAACTTCATAACCCCCTTTCTTTTCTTTAAATTAAATTATAAAAAAAAAACCCATAGTCCCCTTCGAATTCACATTTAAGGCTAGGCTTTTTTGACTATGAAAATAACCTGTAAAATGATTATTGGTAAAATTATTATTATAAGAAGGCAATTTAATAAATCAGGTCAGAATATTTTTTAAAATAATAATTTCTTATATAATTGTAGATAAAATCTTTCCTAATTGACCTATCATCTTTTTCTAATACTTATATTTTTCATCATTAATGCCCCCCTCAAAATTACTTTAAACAGAAACAAAATTCTTTGAACCACTTTATAGACCCATTTCTTTCCAGTCAGAGATCTACAAACATTATCAGTCTGCCACATCCATTAATTATCAGTTGCTTATCAACTTTCACGTGCAATCAGGGTCTTGTAATTTGATGAAAAGTTTACAATTTTTGGGTAGACGACGGAATGTCCAAACTTTAATATTTATGTCAGATATTTATCTGAACCTAAATTTTATAGATGATGAGGAATTATTTAAAAAGAGAAAAACAAGAATATCAGTATGTTGGACTAACCTCTTGAATAGTAAACCGATGTTGGATGGTGGCATTAAGATCAGTCATCCAAATATCTATGTGAGGTCCATATGGAGTTGTCACTTGAACCTTTTGAAGCAGCGGGGCATGAATGGCTCCAGAACAGAATATTGTGAGTTGAGGGCATTCTGTTACGATGGCACGTTGTAATAATGGAAACTTGAAAGTATAATTTTGGCTGCTAAATCTCTTCAATCTTGGTAATTCATCAAGTTTCAAAAACTCCAGTTTGCTGAAAATGATTTTCTTGTCCTCATTGTCCTCTTTTTTCTGTTTCGTCATAAGTTCTTCTATTTGATGGCATGAACCATCTAGTGAAGAAGCTAAGTTTATTTCTCCTTGGCGGTCATTATTGCCCAACACATTCTTCAATTTTGGCAAATCATATAGCGATAACCTTTTCAATGGCACAATCACTGGTGATGACACCATCTCTTTATAATCATTTAAATCTTCAAAATCAAACACCGTCTCCAACATTTTACACCCCAAGACTTTCAGTTCTTCCAAGTTGTTTAAAAATTTCAGCACATGAAGGGGCACCAATTTCACAAAGCGACAGTAAATCACAGCCAATGTTTTCAGGTTGCTAAACGAGTTGTGTGAAAGTTTGTCATCCCATATCGGTGGAATCAAACTGTTTAAAGAGTATAATCTTAATATCTCTAACTTTGGGAATGACACCTGTTGAAAGAAAATATAATTAAACGAAAATGTTTTGGCAAAATACGAAAACGAAGTTACTGTTGATTTGTGAGGCTTAGTTTTCATGAAAGATTGTTTAAATGTGCAAGTATATATAGCTCTCGTGTACCACAATATTCTTGAAGAGATTGATAAAAGTTCAACTTCAAATTTCAAGTTTACCAAACAGAAACAACTAACTAAAAAACAAGAGAACTATAAAATGCTACAATAGCTAGCCTAATACCAAAGTAAGTAATTTAAGTGAAATAATTTTTTTTAGATATATTGAGACAAGAAAAAATAAGAACATATTTTTAGTGAACAGAGTAAATAATTCCAATGACATTAATTTTCACAGCGTAAGTTTGAAATTAAGAAGCTAATAAAATAAGAAAATCTTGGTAAGGAAAGAATATACTAGATAAGAAAAACATTAATTTTTGACCAGAAAAAACAGTAATAAATTGATGAGTAAAATATTCTACCCTTCCTTGTATTTTGCCCTAATTACAAATTTTCCTTCTATTTTGAAAACATAAACTTAACTCCAAATAGTTAAATCTGTTGAGAATATTCTAAAAAAATACTTTTCTAATTCAAATTTATATTAAAATACTTTTGATTTACTAATTTACCCTTCATAATACTAAATTCTTAAATTTCGGCTAAAAAGTTTTGAAAATTTTAAAATGTTTTCTTTTCCTTAATTTTTTTTAACTTTTTGCAGCTAGTTATTTTTTCAACGTTTTTATCATATTAGGATTGAAAATAAGTAATTTAGTGAGCGGAAATTTGGTTAATTCTTTAAATAAATATATAATTGACTAAATAAGTTATAAATATTTCTCATTTGTTTAAAAATTTTAAACTATAAATTTAAATAATTTCTATAATCTATCAAACTTAGATAATCTATCTTATATGACGAAAAGAATATGCATTCAACATATTCTTTAGCCATTTAAAGAAACCTAAAAAATTAATTTCAATATGCGTGACAAACAATTAAAATTACAAAATTTTATAAAAGAATTAAAATTAACAAATTTTATTACATTTTAAAAAGTCTGAAAATACATGTATTAAAATTATTTTTTGTGGTATTAAAAATTATTTTTGCAAAAAAATGAATGTTTAAATAACTTTTATGTGAAGGAGGGGTATTTTGGTCAAAATAAAGTTTAAAGGTCAAACTTAACTGTAACCTTATGGTGGGGTGGATGGAAATGGAATTTCAAATCAAATATATGAGGAAGGTTTGTGCAACATGCATTTTAATCTTAAGGGAGTTATACATATATTTTTGAAACAAAGGGAAGGTTTCTATAACTTGGTAAAACACAGGGCTAGTTAGTATATGTTACTGTAAATTGATTTGAACATACCTTATGATTATTTGTTGCAGGGTTTTCAATGTTGAAATTCGTTTTATGCTCTTCTGCTTTCAATCTTGGCAGACTTCTGAGTTCTAATCTTCTCAATGCACTGAACGTGATTCCACCTTCCACATCGTCATTATTCTCATTCTTTATAATTTTCTCCATCTTTTCGCAATCATATATGTCCAGTGTTTCAAGATTCACCAAACTTTTGGCGGCTGAATTTGTCATTAAATAGATGAGCTGATGACATCGGAACACATTCAGCACTGTCAAATTATGAAGAAGTTGAATTTGATGAACAATGGGTGATGGGAATATCTCCTCGAAAGAACTATCCTCCACACGAAGTTTATTCAGCTGCGGAAATCTTTCAAGCAATGTATGCAGCAATGTTGCCCCTTCTTCATCAGACCCAACTATGCGCAGAATTTGCACTTGAGCAAGACAGTCCGCTGGAAATTGGTCATTCCTTATCATGCTGACATCATACTCATCTAACACCATCTCTCTTGATGCCACAAATCTCTGTAAAACAGATATTGAGTGAGAAGCATGGTAATATTAATTTATTAATTATGTCGCAACTTATTGAATCAGTAATATTATTTTGTTTTTTATTGTGTCCCAAGATCAAATGCGCTCACTAGAAGTGCGAAACATTTTGATTTCATTTATTTTTCATAATTAATCTTGGAAAAGAAATAATTATATTAGCCACGACAAAAAACAATAATGCCGACACATTTCACTATGTATCGCATTAATTATTAAATTATGACCTAATTGTTTGGGATATTTTATAATTAAAGTTATGTAATTAAAAAAATGATAACTACTCCCTCTAGTTCTTTTTATAAAAATTTGAAATTTGAATTGTCTTAGGTTTTTTCATAAGAGCCAACTTGAATTTGTCTGAACATTTAATGTGCTTTTACCCTTTTTGTTTCTAATTAATTTTATTCATTGCATTAATTAAAAGGCTAACAACTTGCTATATTATCTTATCTTTTATAATTTTTCTCATTATTACTCTATTTCTCTCTCTTACTTTTTCCCTCATAATTAAAGGTATATCTAGGGGAAAAAATTCATTTCTTACTGAAACATTTTGCTGTGTATCCCATTAATCAATTAATTATGATGTAATTGTTTGGGATGTTTTGTAATTAAAGTTATGTAATTAAAAAATGATAACTAAAATTTTAGTAGAAACTTCAAAACCGAAACATGTATAGGTATATTCATATTAAATATCATAACAATGGAACATTTATAGATTCATAATTTTGTAAAAGCTGGAAATAGGAAGAATGGAGCATTCTAGACGTACCTGTTGGTAGAATGTCTTGTTAAGATTGGTGTCCCAAATTTCATGATGTTCTCCAAATCTATCTTGTGACAGTAGAACGCTTTTAAGAGATGGTGTATCAATGGGTCCTGGAGAGAATACTTTGAATTTTGGACATTTTGTTATGATCAGCTGATCCAATAACGGAAATCTGAAAGTGTAATTGTAGCGGCAAAATCTCTTCAATTCTGGTAACTGTTCAACTTCCAAATACTGCAACTTGCCGAAAACGACTTCCTCATCGTCATCATCCTCTCCTTCCTGCTTCCATATAATTTCCTCTATGTTAGAGCACGAACTAATTGAGAGACTCGTGAGATGGACCAAGCTTCGAGCAACTGATGACGTCATCAAAGTGGTCAGCTCACTACACGTTTCCACGCGCAGATGTGTGAGATTTGGCGAAGAAACCAAGAGTGGTACCAAGCTTGTCATTTTGGGAATTCTGCGAAGAGTCAATTTTATTGGAAGAGGAACATCATCCCCTCCGCCAAAAGCCTTCTTAATGTGACCCCCCACCCTCAGCTCCTCTAAATTTGGAAAGCCCTTCAACAATTTGTATGACATAGTCGTTGCTTTATAACCAACACATAGATGAAGCAGTTTTACTTTGGGGAAGTGGTACAATGAAAGCTGGCCACTCGCTATCGTCTCAGCTCCTTTACCGCACAATGTCAACTCCTCCAAATTATGAGTGACCTGCACAATACATAAATCATAACTAAATGTAACAACTAATCAATACATCAAAATCCAGCCGTGTGCATTTTCTTAGAAGGATATCTTCAAATTTAAATTTGATGCACCCACAATTTTGACGCACGTGTATTTTGTAACTACAAATAATAATTATGATACATTAAAATGAATATAAATTTCTAGACTGGAGTTTCTATCTTTGATTATGACATACAAACCTTATTTCTCCCATCTTTTGTTTTAAAAAAATTATCAAATTAAAGCTAATAATGGCATGAAAAAAGAAAAAAAAAATCCCCTCCCTTTATTCAATGACACACCTCTTTTCGGTGAAGATGCAAAGCTTAGAATTGGAGTCCCACCTTTTTTAAAAAAGAAAAAATAGAAAATTATTTAATTAATTTCTAATATCTATTATTAAATAAAATAATTATTATGAATTATTATTTTTTAGCTTTTTAAGTGAATAACCAAATTAATCCTCAACTACATTATATTCTGATAAATGGTTTAGTAACAGGAATAATTCACATGCTTGAGTACTCAAAAATATCAAATTCAAACGTGCTCCTAGACTGTGAAACAAAATATGTTTCATTATTTAATTTAATGCTTAAAGTTATTTTTTGCTCTTTTATTAGCTTATTTTCAAAATAAATAACACATGAATGACTAATTTAGAAATGTACCTTGTCATGGGACAGTAGAGGATATTTTGAGGCTAATGTGCTCTCTTCCTCATGTATTTCTAGTGAACTTGAGACTTCCTTGTCAAATATCTCTAATTCATCACAATATCTAACATCTAACTGTTGAAGTTGTGGCCATTCTAATGTGTGTCTCTGTGGATAGAAGCTTTTCAAATTTCGAAGCCAAGAAAGCTCAAGGGAAGTCAGACTAGGAAACTCTAACACAGTAGCAACAGATTCTGAAACTCGATCTTTTGCAACAATTACCTCTATACCACAATCTTCTATTCGAAGATATTCAAGATCACGAAGCATGCCCTTGGCTATAGATGCAGGAAACAAACTTGTGAGGCTTTCACAACAGGACACATGCACGCTCCTTAGACTTGGGAAGGAGACATCTCCTTTATAGTGATTGCTCCACACATTCTTCAATTTTCGCAATCCATATAACGTCAACTTCTTCAGCGGTGCAATCACTAATGACGACTCCGCCTCCCCTTTACAATCATTCAAATCTTCAAAATCAAAGACTAACTCCAACATGTTACACTCCCTAACTTCTAGTTCTTCCAAGTTGTTTAAAGATTTCAGCACACGAAGGGACACCAATTTCACAAAGCCACAGTTTTTCACAATCAATATTTTCAAATTGCTAAATGAGGTGTGTGAAAGTTGGTCGTCCCATGCTATTGGAATCAAATTGATTGAATTGGACAATTCCAACCTCTCCAATTTTGGAAGTAACACCTGTTGAACGAAAATATGATCAAACACAAATAACTTATAATCCAAAGGCTTACTTTTCATGAAAGATTGTTTAAATGTCAAAATAAAAATCTCACCTACCACAATACTTTTCAAACCATTGCTAAAAGTTCAATTTGAAATTTCACGGTCACAAAATAAAAAATTAAGTAATTAAAAAAGTGAAAGACCTGTAAAATGCTATAGTAACTAGCCTAATACCAAATTGAGAATTCCAGTTAATGTAATTTTTGTAGATTTCATTAGAGAAAATGAGAAAAACAATCCGGCAAAATGCCAACAAAGCAGATAGTTGTAGTGAAAATGATTTTTTTTTTCCGGGAAATTAAGTTTGAAGTTTTGTTGGAAAGTTAAAACAAGAAAAAGTAACTAAAATAATATGAATATAACCTATTGCTGAAAAGGGATTGGAAAACCATGAGCTAGATTCATTTATTAAAACACTCCAACATATCAAGTTGACACGTTTTTAGGATGTAAAATGAACAATTTGAAGCTTCATTATTTATTTTAAGACTTGAAGTTATTAGCTTTTCTCTACTATTAGCTGATTTTAAGTAATTAAAAAAAATAAAAAGCTGCAAACTTCCATAATTGCCTAATAGTAGAGCAAGTAATTCTAGTGAAAATGATTTTCGCATATAATTTTCAAGTTTTGTAAGAAGATCAAATAAGAAAAAAATTGTGAAAATCTGCACATACCTTGTTGAAAATTAACTCAGACATTTTGTTGGATATGTTATTTGTTGCAGCTTCATGGTGTGCTGAGTTCAAAACGATGTATCTAATAGTATCATTACTTTCAATCTGAAGATGCCTTAAATGTGGAAATGCTCTTCCATCATGACAGTGAAGAACATTTTCAAGCCCATTAGATCCATATAAATACAAATCTTCAGCTCCTTTCATCAACTTCTGAGCCCCAGGCTTCAAATGGATACTACCCTCTAGCTCAAGTTTCAATATCTTCGAAGTTTCATAATTGTCTTGCCATTTCCAATGGTCTCCAATGAATATTCTATATCTCTGCAAATCCAAGTCTAAGAACAAAGCCTCCGGCAACATGGAGACATTAGGAATATGAATATCGAGAGAAGAGATTGGCAAATCCTTTAACTCTTGAAGACTTGCGTTTTCATCAGCTTCACTAGATCCTTCAATTTTCCACTGGTTAAAGCTGTTTCCCATGTACAACACTTCCAATTTTTTCAAGCTAGATAGAAGTTTTGGGGGAATCACTTTGAGCTTGGAGCAATGGGACAAATTCAACATTTGTAAAGAAGTCAACTCTGCTAATTGAATTGGTAGCCATTCAATTTCAGAGTAAGCAAGACTTAACACTTTTAAATTCTTCAACCTTGTGACTTCAGTTATATCTTCTAGCAAACAAGAGTGCAGACACAATGTTTTTAGTTTTAGTAGGAAACTGAGTGATGGTAGTGATGAAAAACGCACATCAGTAAATGCCAACAGTTTTAGCTTCTTTGAAGATTTGAAAAACATGCTGGGTATGGTCAAGTCATGTTGTTTTGTGTTGTGCAGTAGAAAGAATTCTAATGTTGGAGCATGCAACTCTTCTGTAAGGTCAACACTGATGTCACTTTCTTGCAAGCAAATTCCCTTGTAGCCTTCTAGCTTATCTTCGTCTGGCCATTCTCTCAAGCTTTTATGCCTCAAAATGAATGCATGTAATTCATCAGATGCAGTCAATAATGCAATATCTCGAAAGACGTCATGGATTGTAACATGATGACTAGAAATGCTATCCAGAAATAAGTTTAATGATTTTAGCTTACTCGCAATAGCAGAGATTCCAACATAGGCTTGTTCCATGTTCTCTATGCCTTGAAAAATATCTAAACCCACAGAGTACATGAGCAGGTCTTCAATTGAGGGATCATGGGTTAACATGGCAGCAAGTAAGAAAATAGTTTTTTTCTCTTGGCTTAGAGGATCATAGCTCAATTTCAAAGAGGCATCCACCTCTTTGATTCCTGTGTTACTTCGCCTTAAATGATTTCTCCATCGTGCAAGGTAATCTTTCCACTCATCTAGATTTTTTCCCCTTAATGCCTTGGCAGCTGTAGCAATCGCTAGTGGCAGACCTCCGCACTTTTGAACAATCTCATATGCTATAGGTTTCAAATCAGGATTGCCTGATTCAACAGAAAATTCGGCAATCCTCTTGAACAACTCCCATGCTTCATTCTTTGACAAAACACCCACTTTGATAATTTCTTGACATTTCATGAGATCTGACAGCAGACTTCTATTCCTTGAAGTTAGTAAAATTTTGCAACCTTCATTCTTTCTGCTATAATTTTCAACATCAACAAAGGGAATTCCAACTTTGCGCAAATCAAGTTCCTCCCAAAGGTCATCCAATATTAGGAGCATATTCTTCTCTTTCTTCAACCTCTCCCACAAACGAGAAGCTCTGACATCTTCAGTTCTTTCATTGAGTGGCATACCCAACTTATCAGCAATCTGGCCTTGAATCTTCTCAACATTCAATTCTTTGGAAACAATTGCCATGATCACATTTTCAAACATCTTTTGATTCTTCACCTTCTTTTCAACCTCTCTAGCCATGGTGGTCTTGCCAACACCCCCAAGCCCCCACAATCCGATCATATTAACACTTGGATTCCGTAATGCCTCCATAATTTGATTCATAATCGGTACTCTTGAATCAATCCCTTCATTGCTGTCTCTGTTCGTTAATTCTGTCATTGACGGGGGAGGAACACGATATGAAACTCTATGAAAGTTTCCCTTCCCACAAATTTCAACAACTTCTTTCGCAATCTCCTTTGCTTTTTTGCTTAGTTTATAGCGTAGCCAAGGGTTGGGACATGAAGTTATGCTACACTCTGTTTGTACCTGACTCTTTTCTCGAAGCTTTCGTCCTGTCTCTGATATCTCATCTACTTTGGCCAACCAATGACAAACTTCCTCTTTAATTTGTTCTACATTGTTTGTAGCCTCATCTATTTCATGATTTATGGAGCATCTTCTAAGGGTGAGTTCCTCAAGTAGTTCATTGAAGTGCTCAATGTTTCTGCGATAGTGAATGAGATAAAGAAGCTGCTCCCAAGTTAGGTCGAGCACTACGTCTCGGAACTTCTCAACCAAACCACAAGTAATAGTATCCATTTAGTTTGTGCTCTGTTGAAAAGAAATAGCAAAAATAATTAGTGCACATTTTATAATTAGATATAGTTATGGATAGGATTAAATTTACAAATATTTTATAACCGTTTAATTCAAAAAATAAAGTAAAAATGCTAAAGTTGTTCATGAATCATGAGAGAGCGGGGCAGGTTTAGGGTTGGCTTTATTTGGTCAGTGTCCTTAGCGACAGGAGAGACATGTCACATGTGAGAGCAGTGAGAGTGGGGAAGCAGAGGAAATGGCTTTTATTTCAATGTTCACAGTGGGGAGACGTAAGGGAGTTGTTGTTGTTGATGCTGTGGGGCATTGTACGTAAGAGATATTGAATGAAATAAGGAACAGAGAATTGAAGTGCCAGCCAAAAAAAGCAAAAGGCTGTAAATTCAGGATTTTTCTTTTTCTTTTTTTTTTGGTGGAGAAAAGACAAAAGAAAAGGAAAAACACAAAGGAAACTGCAGAGATAATGAAGTGAAAGAAGAAGCTAAGAAAGCAGTAGAAATTAGCAGAAGGGATAAAATAGGAGATCTGTAAAACTACCAAGAAGAAGAAGTGGAGCCACGCAAATAAGAGTTTCAAGGAAAAATATAACCTAGACATATTAATTTGTAAAAAAATAAGGGAAAACTAACTTGGAGGTCCTTATAATTTTTATCAGTTTGGAATCAGGTCCTTATGGTTTCTTTTCTTTTCATTAGATCCTTTAATTTTCTCCTGTTTGGTCCATTAATCCCTACCGTTAAGTAAGACAAACATCGTGATAACTTGCTGTCAACATATTATCCTTCCCTGCCGTTCTCACGGCCTCACTGATATGAGTAGTATGAGCTCGTCTATCAAGCTCGTGAAAACACCTCGAATTCCAGTTGCATCCCACTTGTTCATCTGATATACCTCCTCACTTCCACTTTCTTCCTTCTTTTTTTAATACCGGATCTACGCAAGTCTCTCTCCCTTTAAACGGTTTCTTAAATTGAATCCATGCTAGTTATAGAATTTATCTTTACTTTATTGTTGGATTTTGTTTACTTTTCATTTGTTCCTCTATTTTCTGCGATCCTCTTATCTCAAATTTGCTTCCCCTTAGTCTGGACTCTGAATATTCTATCTTAATAATTCAAGCTCAAAGAAATGAACTTTGTACGAAACTCCCATTTTAAGGTTCTTTGCTTTGTTCTCTTTTCTGCCTCGCCTTCACTCCCTGTGTTCCTACCCTGCCCCTGTGAGCTATATGGACATGACCCAAGAACGCATTTCCTTCTTGGCCTTCAAACCTGAACCAAACCAGATGCTATAATTTTTGCAGAGCGTACTCGATGTACTACCTGATGATATTAACAGTGGAAGGAACAGTGAGTTGGGCGAATGGGGGGTGGGTGAGGAGAAGATTTAACGGAAAGTTATAACGGTGTTTGTCTTATTTAACTATAGGGATTAATGGACCTAACAGGAAAAAGTTAAAGGATCTAATAAAAAGAAAAAAAATTACAAGGACCTGACTCCAAACTGATAAAAATTATAAGGACTTCTAAATTAGTTTTTCCAAAAAATAATAAATCTAATATTTTAAAATAATTTATTTAGCTTTTTAAATCTCTTCAAATTTATTAACTAAATTTCATATTAATAATAAATCCTACCTAAATAACAAAAGGGCATCGACGGGGAACCAGTTTTGGTGCTCATCCCTTTGATGAGCATCCCAAACTCACCAGATCTAAACCATTCATATCTCATTTGGATGGTCCAAATGTGATTTTTTTTATTTTTATTTATTCAAAATAATTATTTTAATATGTATATAATCTATAATAATGATGATCTCTTAACTATCTTTTTTAGAAAATAATTTTTTATTTAAAAATAATTAATTAAAGATTTTAAATCTGGACGTTCAAATCAGATATAAACAGACTAAATATGATGAGTTTAAAGTGCTCATCAAAAGGATGAGCATGGAAACTGGTTCCCATCGATGGAGGGTTGAGAATGTTGGTTTTGTCTTTTCTTGATTCAGGCCTTGGGTTTCCCTACTACCGCACACCCGGGGGGGGGGAGGCATCGACCGAAATCGCAAGCACTCGCTCCTCGACCAAGTGGGCTCCGCTTCGGTGGCTCTCTATGGCGGAAGCACTGAGCGATTACAAGAAAAATAAACGAGGCCAATTTACCGGAATGCTATGGGCAGTAAAATGAATTATCAATATTCTATATGAGAGAGAGAATTTATCAAAGCACTACATTTTAAAATCATTCACCGTATCAATAAGTTTAAAATTCTAAAGAACTCGTTATTTATCAAAACTCGTTTCTGGGTTATATATACACGTTTTCCTAAATTTAATTTTTTTGTCCGTTTTGTTAACTTAATTTTATTTCTCGTATTTAGATAATAATTGGGAAACCCATATCGGAGGTATATATACTGTGTAAGGAGAAGTAAGGAATGCTGTGTAATTATGAAAGAAGACAACGAGAACCAACAAAATCAGTGAAAAGTGCCAAGAAAAGGAATAAAATTCAAAAACGAAAAATTCTGAGAAAATGCATAAGAAGAAGCAGACATGAGACTTTGGGAGGAGTAGATTGCAAAGTCTCTCGTGCATAGAGGAGTCAATGTAGTATATGGCAATGAATAAGATCCGCAACAATCAATCAATCATCAATCAATCAATTATCAATCAATCAATCAATTATATTTTTGAAAACTTATAATACCCGGTTCATTTTAAAAACGGGTCGGGTATAACATTAAGACATCTGAATATATTTAATTGATAAAATTTGAATAATATTTTAATTGGGATTTATGTATATTGAATTAAATGAAGAGTATCATTATTAAATGGGATTTTAATTTGAGGGTCAAATAAAGAAATTAATAATTAATTTTGAGTTTACATGATATCTTAATTGATATTTGAATATATTGAATTAAATAAAAAAATTATAATTAAATAGTACGTCAATTGGAGACTTAAATAGAGAAATAAATAAATAATTTTAAATTTTTCTATGGTCTTGTTAATTTTTGAATTTCTAATTCAAATTTCATTTGAATGAATAAAAAAAATTACACTTCTATAAAAAGTGAATATGATTTTAAGTTACCTTAGATAATACAATTTATTATCATTTAAAATTTAATAAAATATTTTAATCCGTGTATCGCGTGAGAAAGAAATCTCTAGTTAAAAAGAAAAGGCACTCTTTTAAAGTTGATTTGAAGCACACGACATTGGCAAGACGCTTAAGGATTTAAATTTTAAATAACGCACTTCCACGAGGTCGCCTCAAGACCAGAGGTCATGACTTCATTGTTGTGGGAGGAAGATAGAAAAGAATGGCGTGTAGGGCCTGAAAGTGACAAAAGAAGTGTGTGGGCCCCCCAATTTGGAAATCCATGCACATATCGTTGCTTTACCCTTCTTTTTGGTTTTAAATATATAAATACAATTAAGTGAGCTTCCTTGTATGCACGGAGATGTGAGTTAGTTTTCTAAAATATCACTGATTTTAATTATTTACATTGAAATAAATTACAACATACCATGTAAATCATACAATAATCTTATTTAAGATTGTTGAATGCTACTACGAAGATACTTTTTTCAAGTAAAAGGCGAGAACAAAGCACTGCAAAAATACTTTGAAAATTGTACAGAACAAACCTCCATTGTATTTTGAGGATCTTATTTTCATATCCCAAAATGTTAATTGAGTGTTAAATTACACATGTTGAGCCAAAATATCTCTCTCTCTAATAAAAATGCTCTTTAAAATTAATTCAAAAATATAATTTCACAGCATATATTTTCAAACTTGTTTTATTCATATATTAAATTTAAATGTCTAATTCATGTGAACTCTATTTTTTCAAACTCAGCGACTAATGAATGATTCGAATAGTGAATGCTACAAAAAAAACAAGTTACAATTAGTCAGAGTTTCCAAAAAATTAGTATTCAGTAGATTGAGAGTCAATAATCAAGTTAAAATTATGAGACCAAAATGACTAATTTTTCGTTTAAAATAACTCTTATTTTAGCACACACAAAAAAAAAAAGGAATAAAAGAGGGTATCTTTAGACATAATGTAAACTAGGGAAGCCACACCTTAAGTAACTTGCCTTCGATCTGGTTGGAAGTTGGAACAGGTTTCTTCTTCTCTTTGCTGGTTGCTGTCTAGATTCAGAAACACGAGGATATGCTGCAAAAGTTGAAAAACAAATCGAACTTTGTAAATACAGATCAATTAAACAACCACAGATTTTGGCAAAAATCTACATTTCCGAACTTACAATAGTGGCCGATGTGAAACTTTACAATTTCAAGTATATAAACCCCAGATCTCCCGATAGTAATCAACTTTCCTCAGTATTTTAACACAGATCAAACCATGAGATACCTCTTTTTTGATGGCGTTTTGAACAAGTTTGAGAAATAGATGCTTCACAACAATAGAAGACAACTATAATGTGAAAGTTTACGAAGAAGATGAAGAACTTGTGAAATTAAACAGGAAAAAACATCAACTAAACAACATCACAAATATGATGAAAAACCAGTTTTTTTTAAAAAAAATTATTTTTTTCTGGAAGAAATATCACAAAACCAGAAAAATAAAGTTGAAAACGATCACAACAGAGAAGAGCAAGCAAAAAACTGCAAAAGGAGCAAATTCAGGGTTTCCTTAAGAACTTATCTTTTAATATGGGTGAGACAGAGAGAAAACAGAAATCAGGAAATACAAGCAAAACCCAAAGTGCCCGAAAGACGTTAAGGAAAGAGAGAATTAGCAAGGAGTGAGGTGAACAGTGATACTACGAAAGAAGATTTAAGCACCAACGAAAGTTGCAAAAGCAGTAGATTCAGAAAGTAAGAAAAAAGGGAAATCAGAATGACAGTGGAAACTGCAGATGAAGTAAAAGAAGAAGCTGAGAAATGTGGAGGGGAGAAAGTAGGAGATTTGTGAAATAGAAAAG